GTGTGGAGGAATGGCCAGTAGGCAAGTCTGGAGGAGACTGTGTGGGAGCTTTACTCAACTCAAGGTGTGGTTGCTAGGATGACAAGTCATACAACATGTGTTTCTTTGCTTTGCCAGAGAGAAGCCAATCTGCGAGAGGTCGGTATCTTTGCGAGCAGACGACATTGGTGGTCAGCCAATAAAAAAATAGCTACTAGGTTGAAAACCAGTCAGCACTTATTAGCCATTGCCAATTACCAGCTGTTGATAATGGTAATAGTTTATGACAACTATATACTGACAGGGCTGGAAATGAGTCCTACATTGGGAATTGTAAAGAATAAACACTCTAAAAAAAGGAATTGTATAGTCGAAGACTTGAAATTCTTCTACATAAGGAAATCAAAAGGGCTTTACTGATAACATCTTGATATATTCCTATAAAATGAAGGAATAAAGCAGCCATAACCATTGTCTGATGTTTCTTTTGTTTTTGATGCCAATGTATTGCTGGTGTTTATTGTGGTTGCTCATTGGATATGATATTGTCTCTTCTGACAGCACTTGTAAATATGTGTTATCTTTGGTTTGTGTTTCTCTATAAAATGCACAAAACAAACAAGAAAACTTTCCGAATTCTAACTTGATATCTTGTCAATTAAAACATAATTATTCTGAGATTAGAGATTCTTTCATTTTCTTTTGCAGGGAATTTCATCTATTGATTTGTTAATTCATTTGAATACCAGTTCTACCTGTTCAGAGAGTGTGTGCGCTATTACCACACGTTAATTACCACCATGCTACTAAATCTCCTCCTCAGTTAACTGGTTAATATGAGCATCCTGCTTTCTTCAGTCCTGCCTTATAGCCTATTTATTCTTTGTAATCTTCCAATTCCCTTGAGATGTTCTCCCCTCCTGTCTGTTTCTGCCCTGGTAAATTGCATTACGGAGATGATACAGCAATATTAACTGGTTACTTTAAGATGATGGGTCTTTTAATTAAAAGCCGAACAGCAACCGAATGCCATTCCGTTGTCACAATTTGGCCAATTTAACCAAATGTAACCCATTCATCAATTTATAAAATAAAAATGTATTCATATTTACACTTCCATTATGCTGCCATTTGAAGTCAGCAGAATCGCCATACAAATTGACTGATGTGGCTATTTACAAATAACTAAACAGCGTCTGAATTAGTTTTAGTTAATTAAATCCCCCTGATAAAGGTGACTTTTTACCCCTAATTCAAACCCCCAAAATGAAATCACAGAGTACATTGCCCTCTATATGCACATGCAGGTCTTTTAAAGGGAACTGTTACTTCCCAGGTTCCTAATATTATGCTTATTTAGTAAATATAAGGCTAATTAAGTATTTGTGAACTGTAAAAAATAAAAATAAACGTGTTAATTCACACTACCAACTTTTGTTTGCACCATGCTATCAGCATAGAGAAAGCATATAAGAGAAAGCTCATTTGTAATGTGTGCTCTGATTGAGCCTGAACTGAATTAGATTGTAATGTAATTTGCTAAATCTTTAGTAGAAATTAAAAAGAAAAGAGAGCATCATGAAAA